TCTGCTTAAAATAAATCTGCACGTTTGTTTATTTTGAAGCCTATGAGTGTGCTTTTTACGTTGAAGTACTTTTTAATTTTAAATTATCTGTTCTAACTCTGTATCTGCACACTATGCTGGCGCGATGCATTATGCATTATGGGGCTGGTAAATATTTTTTTTCCAGGGCTGCTTTTAATTCCCAGTCCGGCCCTGCTTACAGTGCAGTTGTAAACATTATAATTGTTTTGCTGCTAATCTGCTGCTTACATTTGAGTTTTAAAAAGTAAAAAAAAAAAAATTGGGTGCTAAATAGTATATTTGGGGTGTGCACTTCATATCTGAGAGTCAAATCGAAGCGTAACTTTGATTCGAATTTACTACATTGGTCACTTGTAAAATTGTTTCACACCTACAACACTTACACAGATCTAAGTGATAGAAAACAGATTGATATTTTCTACACTAGAAACTACCAGATAACAAGCTGCTATATTTAAACCAGTTATCAATTGCTATGAGGTACTTAAACAATATTGTAATTCTGGGGCAATACCCTCACAAGTCAAACTGAGAAGTCAGTTTATAGGGAAAACTGTTGCCTGGATACAATTCTAAAACAATTTCCATATGTCATTTGCAGACTTTACATGCTGGAAAAACACAGGTGCCAACTGCTGTGGCTTTCTGCAGTGTGCATACCGGCAAGGAGGGCAGGGTTGAGGAGTGGGTGGAAGATGATGTGGAGGATGATGAGGTTCTAGACCCCACATGGAATCAAGGTCATACGAGTGACATGTGCAGTTTGGAGGAAGAGGTGCTGGTCGCACAGAGGCACCAGCACAGCATAAGAGGGAGCAGGATGCAATATCGGAGCGGCCGTCCCCTAGCGATCAAAGGATCCATAATAGAGTTGAGCGAACCCGAACTGCAAAGTTTAGGTTCATACCAGATTTAACGATCCATTCGTAGTTTCACAATCAGGTGGGCAGTCCGGTGACCAGGACCCAGACAATGTCTGGGCGGCGGTTGGACGATCGGGACCCAGTATGCCTGATGTTGAAGTTAGGAGTCACAGTGTAGAATGGATTAGGAGGGTCTGGTGCAGGGTAACCGCACGCCCCCTGGTGTTGAGCACCAGCGTTTGTGCGGCCACATACCAGGACCCTGATGCAGCTTCAGTAAAAAGAGTATTGGATACCAGAAGCCATCACCAGACTGATCCGCAACTTGGAACAGGATGTGACATTCACTGTAGCGGCTGTGCGCGCTTTTGGCGTCCCCCACCCTGCTGCTGCTCGCCTGAGTTAAAGGATTTCTCTTTTACAATTTACTTTATGGGTAACTAAAACTAGGAAATAAGTCTCCTCTGTTACTAGGCATGGTTGGTACAGTGGCACTCTTTGGAGTGACAACTGTCACTATCATTGGTTAAAGCGAAGGAGACAATACAAGGGTTAAAGAAGTATTGTTTGAATGTGTGTATTAATTATCATTGTAATTTAATTTATATAATTTAAGACACACAAGATAAATAAGATAGAATTTTGACTATGTTACAATATTGAAGATATGTATAGAGATAAATTATCTTGTTTGGATGGCCCCTTCCCCTTTTTCTTTTTCTGTATCCTTTATTATTTGGAAAAATAAAATAAAAGAGTGAGTTAAAGGATTTCAAGTGGACTCATTACAATTACAGGGACTCTAAAGAGTCCTGTATTGTTATTTGTCGCCACTACCTTCACGCGTCGGGAGTGGGTCATTTGCGCGCCTGCTGCCTTCCTTGCATGTGGTAGCCATTTCTCAGGGTCCCTGTATGGAATGGAACCCTGATTCCCTGTTACCCGTGGTCCCCATGGTAGGCGCAGAAACTGGCATCGAAAGTTGATATGGATGACATCCGAATGCAAAGTCGCCGTCACGGGGATGTGCAATTGGCCCGAGGTTCTCTAGAGTCAACAAAGTGCCTGCACAAATATAATGTCAACAGCTACTCTGCGGAACAGAGTTGTGTTTTTTTTATATGTCCCAATCTAGTGAACAAAATAGACTTATTTGTGACTTTCCACTGTATTTATTTATTTGCGATTTATTGGTTCGGTACATTAAACTACTGAACACCGACCACCCTCCTGGCTCATTACCTTCAAAGGGAACCGTCTATTAAGCGCTCTCTGGGCGGCCTCCGTTCGTATATGCGAATGCCACGTGGAAGAGAAAATCGTGGCCATCTTGTTTGCACGAAAGGAGGCAGTGGGACTTGGATGTCAAGTGTCTGGAACTAAAATCGGACACTTGACTTCCCGAACCACCGCTGAAACATACGAACGCCTGCTTCCTTTTGTTGCCGAACAGCTAGGAGAGCGCCATTCGGTAGTTTGGTTCATACATTCGGGATTTTATTTGTTTTTATGCTGTTCTCTGGTCGGTGAACGAAGACGTCCATACTTTTTGAGAACCCCTGAATCGGGGCTATCAGGAGGCATGTCATTTGTGGGGATACCTTGTGTATAAAGGGGTGTTCCAAGTTTTGGGGTAATTGTGTGTCCTCTGCCTAGAGATAATTGGGTTATTCCTTAACTTATCTCAGAATCTCCCAGGCAGAGGAAGGGAGGGTTTTACTGTAAAACTGTATTATGATTGGTTGTTCCTTTTGTTTACTGTGGGAGGTCCTCTTGCAGGAGGATTTCAATAAAAAAAAAAAGAAATATATATTTTGAATACCCTTCGTCCCTGATCAACTAACTGTTGAATCAGAGACTAGGGTACAGAGGTCAGGTTGGTGGTACCAGTTCCACCTAAATGTGGGCTTGGACCCAAATATTTACATAAAAAGAGCGTGAACACAATAATTGGATAACTCCCCTGAAAAGAAGGGGGAACTCCCAATTAGTCTGGTAATGATGGTAAAAAGGAACGCCAAATGATACAAGAAACTACCTATAAATTGTCAGAAAGAAGGTAATAACTACAGGGAAAGCATATATTGATATTAGAGGCACTGAATAAACATGTATCCTAACAAAAGCAGTGACACACTGCAACTTTATTAACTATACTGTAGAGAAGATACAATGTATCAGTGTCTTCAAGAAGCTTATAACCCTAAAATCCTATGTGGATCAAACTCAGTATCCAAATCTCAATTAAAGCATACTAAATGTTAGGAAAGTGAGATTTATCACATGGGATGATCCACAAAGAAAACGAAATAAATGTAGTACCTTGAAATCTTGTTATGGATAGGTGTGCATGGTAGTGGAGGAGACAGTATAACATAGAATAAGAGTAAAAACTAAATATCTGTAACTAAGTAGCTTAACAACTGTATAGAGAGAGATATATGAGGTATAGATAACGATATAGGCAGTGATTAAAGTAATATAATTGGAGAAAATCCCCTGAGAACAAACGCCACTATTCTAATCCTCTATCTCCTCATAACACCTTCGTGGGTGTTCTATAGTAAGTTGCTAACTAAGCACTGTCCCCTTACACTAATTCCACTACACTAACAAAGCTCCATATTATTATAGAAAAGCATAACTACATCTATACCTTTAATACTATAATTGGAAGATATCCTTATTGGGAGATATAGGCAATGCAATGATTTGACTGTCTATACCTTTAAATAATTTCAAGATAATTACTGTATATTATTATAGTGATTGGCGAAATTATAGAAAAGCATAACTATATCTATACCTTTAATACTATAATTGGAAGATATTCTCATTGGGAGATATGGGCAATGCAATGATTTGACTGTCTACACTTTTAAATAATTTCAAGATAACTACTGTATACAATTATAGCGATCGGCGAAATTTTCATAAACTATTTGGAGGCATGTATATATATTAATGTGGAGAATAACAGTCAGAAAGGCCACTGAGTATTCTCAATAATGTTTATAAGTTGATTCTTAAACATATAAAAATCGTAAAAGGAATGTTCACCGTTCGGGCTAAGAGGGAGTGTACTGCTTGTCAATTATTCTGACGTTGCAGTTTCATATCCCGCCCACGGTAACCCCACGTGGCCGTTAAGTGATACGTCATCAATGACGATATCCATTTTAACTCTTTGGATTGGTTAATTTATATTTAAATACTGGGGGAGTTCGGGCGGCAATTTTCAGCCCCTGACGAAGGAGTCTTGTACTCTGAAACGCGCGTCGGGTTTTTTTCTTTTGGATTTCCCTCCACTCACTCGAGCACCTCACTATGCACGAGGGAATCCCTTATAGACTTTCACTTTTGTTTTTTTCGTTAATTTAAATGCTAACTTTTTATGGAGCTTTGTTAGTGTAGTGGAATTAGTGTAAGGGGACAGTGCTTAGTTAGCAACTTACTATAGAACACCCACGAAGGTGTTATGAGGAGATAGAGGATTAGAATAGTGGCATTTGTTCTCAGGGGATTTTCTCCAATTATATTACTTTAATCACTGCCTATATCATTATCTATTCCTCATATATCTCTCTCTATACAGTTGTTAAGCTACTTAGTTACAGATATTTTGTTTTTACTCTTATTCTATGTTATACTGTCTCCTCCACTACCCTGCACACCTATCCATAACAAGATTTCAAGGTACTACATTTATTTCGTTTTCTTTGTGGATCATCCCATGTGATATATCTCACTTTCCTAACATTTAGTATGCTTTAATTGAGATTTGGATACTGAGTTTGATCCACATAGGATTTTAGGGTTATAAGCTTTTTGAAGACACTGATACATTGTATCTTCTCTACAGTATAGTTAATAAAGTTGCAGTGTGTCACTGCTTTTGTTAGGATACATGTTTATTCAGTGCCTCTAATATCAATATATGCTTTCCCTGTAGTTATTACCTTCTTTCTGACAATTTATAGGTAGTTTCTTGTATCATTTGGCGTTCCTTTTTACCATCATTACCAGACTAATTGGGAGTTCCCCCTTCTTTTCAGGGGAGTTATCCGATTATTGTGTTCACGCTCTTTTTAGGATTTCCATAAAAGCCAGTGTGTCAATAAAGATCATTCCTGTTGTACCCTTCATGAAGTCTAGGCTCATGCTTGGGGAATATTTTATTTGCTGTGGAGAATCATCTTGGATGCTGCATTCATCTACACTATTCCTCTACACCCTAACTGCAGTTAGAATCACTTATGCTCAGCTATTGGGAAAGGAATAGAAGACCTCAGTACCATAACCACTGAAGGTCTTAACATATATATATATATATATATATATATATATATATTGATATCAAAATACATGTAGAACGAAATAATATATATATATATATATATATATATATATATATATATATTATCTATATACATAAGTATATACGTATATATCACTATATACCTATATATAAATAAAAATAATTTTAAAAAATTATATATATATATATACATATATATATATGTGTGTGTGTGTATATAATAATTCTATGTATATATTTATGTAATCATTTTACATAATTAGGTCATTTTATTAATTACAATTTGTGGGACCTGCCTGACAACCCAGGCCAAAAGTCCAGGGAATTTAATTTGCTAGAACTATATTTAGGCCTGTAACTTTTCAAGACACCATAAAACCTGTACATGGGGGGGGGGGGTGTACTGTTTTACTTGGAAGACTTCGCTGAACACACATATTAGTGTTTCAAAACAGTAAAATGTATTACAACGAAGATATCATCAGTGAAAGTGCCAATTTTTACATTTTTCACACAAAAATTGGCACTTACACAGACGATATAATTGTTGTGATACGTTTTACTGTTTGGAAACACTAATATTTGTGTTCAGCAAAGTCTCCTGATTATAACAGTACCCCTCGTGTACAGGTTTTATGGAGTTTTTTTTTAAAGTTACAGGGAATATAAGGCTTGTGTTTCAGTTTTTTCACATTGAAATTAGCCAGATTAGTTACGTTGCCTTTGAGACCGTATGGTAGCCCAGGAATGAAAATTACCCCCATGATGGCATACCATATGCAATAGTAGACACCGAAGGTATTGCAAATGGGGAATGTCCAGTCCTTTTTAGTAGCCACTTAGTGACAAACACTGGCCAAAATTGGCATTCAAATTAGTTTTTTGCATTTTTCATACACAAACAAATATTAACACTAACTTGGCCAGTGTTTGTGACCAAGTGGCTACTAAAAAAGACTCAAAGGCAACATAACCAATCTGGTGAATTTCAATGTGAAAAAAAAAACTGAAAAATTTAACATGCTAGATTTGACCCTGTAACTTCCCAAAACACCATAAAACCTGTACATAGGGGGGGTACTTTTTTACACGTGAGACATCGCTGAATACAAATATGAGTATTTTATTGCAGTAAAAGCTAACAGTATTATGACATTCACAGTTAGAATGTCACGCAGAACTAAATATTTTTTACAAATTGTTATTTTCTTCCATTTTTTTTATATTTTATTCATATTAAATTATCTTCATACCTAAATATTTGATGCTAAATTAAAGCCCTGTTTCCCCTGAATAAAATGATATATAATAAGTGTGGGTGAACATAATATGAAAGAGGCGAATTACAACTGAACAGACATTTGCGCAAATTCAAGTTTTTGTTTACGTTTTGTTTTGATCACAACGTGTACATTTGACTCTGTCCTTAAGGCGTTAAGCAACTTGGACCTTCCTGAAATTGTTTGTGTTTGAATGTTTCTCCTAAGTCACAGAAAAAAAATAAAAACAACACAACTTTCCATTATAGGGGTGCAGCAATATTACCCTGTTTACAGATTGTTCTTTCAGAGATTACTCATTGATTCATGTGACAGTGCTGCAATCTATGAGAGTCCTTAGGAAACTTGAACCTACAGGACAGACTGAAGAATGTGTAACACGTCTGTCCCCACCGTATGCATGTGACCAGCACACAAGTTATATATAGGAAGGACTGAGGGTGTGAAGAGAAAAAGCATTGCTTGTCTGGGAATAACTAATTCTCACGTAGGGCTGGAGAAGAGAAAGAAAGCCATAGCTTGGATTGCTGAGAGGAGCACAAACTCAAGAAGTCTACAAAAGGAAGAGAATTGGTTGATCATACTTGAAAAGTCATTTTGAGAGGGAGGATTGTAATGGATTACAACACAGATATAATCCGGGACAATAATCCTATGGACAGTTTGGAAAAACAGCTTATTTGCCCTATCTGTCTAGAAATGTTTAATAAACCTGTGGTGATCCTACCATGCCAGCATAACCTGTGCAGAAAGTGTGCCAATGATGTATTTCAGGTAAAGACACATACAGAGAAAATACACTTTTTAAATGGCTTCTAGTCTGTGCTTTTATTTGTGTCATCCAAGCTATTTATGTGCTGCCATTGTAGTTGTAAGGTGTTTTGTGCTCTTTGTGTTGTGTCTTTATATTAGATATCTATTTCATGGTAATGTATGCACATATATTGTGCCAGCTATATCCTACTGCTGTAAAATCTAGGTACATTTTAAAATGATGTCTAGATACATTCTTATGTAAATGACAAAAAGGCATTAGTTAATTGTGAAGAATATAAGATTCTCCTCACATTTGTAAGGCAGTTGAAATATTAGCTGTACTAGTCCAGTGAAGCAGAAGTAAAATATCAGATATTATAATACAAATAAAATAGACACACATCAAGTCTGAAGCATTTGATAAGGAAAATCTCCAAAACTACAAAAAAGAAGGAATTACAAGATACTAAGATCATCAGTTATTTTGCATTTGTAAGAAAGAGACTCCTATATTCAAAGTTGCATTATGAGAACTTATGATATTCTTTATTTTTTTAAGGCTGGTAACCCATACTGGCCCACACGAACTTCAGTATCTGGGGGTCGATTTCGCTGCCCAACCTGTCGCCATGAAGTAATCTTGGACCGTCATGGCGTGTATGGCTTACAGAGAAATCTACTTGTAGAAAACATAATAGATGTATACAAACAAGATTATACCAGGTAAGCTTTAAAAAACTTTTTAGAAGTTAATAGTGAAAGTTGTGATTACAAACCTAACAAAAGATAACCTTTAACATCATTAGTAAGCACTAAACATTAGCCATAAAAGATCTTTCTATATACCTCTTGACTAAAATGTCTGTTCTTTCTCTTATATTGTCCATACATGTGTAACCAGCCGACCTGAGAAAAAGGAAAATCACCCAATGTGTGAGAAGCATGAAGATGAGAAAATAAATATCTATTGTTTAAGCTGTGAAGTACCTACTTGCTCAATGTGCAAAGTGTTTGGTGCTCACAAAGACTGTGATGTGTCTCCCCTTCAGAGTGTTTATCAATCCCAGAAGGTAAGTTTTCTGTAAGGACTAACACATATAAATGATAAATTACAAGGACTGTTTTTTATGAGCACAAACAGCTAAAGCAAACAGTTTATATAATTTGTTCTATTGACCCTGATAAGTCTGTATGCGGCATTAATTTGTTATTAGTCTGATGTATTGGTTAATTAAAGTTGTAAAAAAAAAAAATACATAAATAAAAAGGTAACAATTAAAAATCTTGAAGCAGTTAATATATTTATAGTACCTTGAACTGTACAAAATATTCCATCACATACAAAAATAACACCACACATCCCAATTTTCCAATAAATAAACCCTAAGTTATTAAATCTACCCCGGGGATACCTAGCAAATACCTAGCCTATGCATTCTTATGTATAAACCCTATGGGTTAAACTAAAAACCTGCTCATGGATCCATATTAGGTAAACGGCATTAGATAGAAAATGATCTCAGTGACCAAGTGTTATATAACTACCTGGTATACATTTGCAAAATGCCTCAATTTTACTCTTCCCCATATCAAAGGGGAATATTTATTACATTAGGGAGAGCAATGCGGCTACTATGTACTATTAGAGGGCAATTCTTAAGGTCCTAATGAATATGATGGGCCTGTTCCTACCAACAGGAACTCACTAAAATGACCAGGGGACATGTTTTTCCATCCTAACCCTGTGGTTAAGAACAATTGTACTAAGCACTATTTAAGTTTAGAACATGATCAGTTATTTTTACAAAATAAAATGCTCAAAGTACTTTGTAATTCTCAGCATGCTTTTAATTATAATGTGACATACTACTACATTTGATACAAGATGTGAGCTATAAATGAGGAAACGATAATAAAGTATATTTTTGAGCTCATAAATATTTAAACTTTGTAACAAATTTATAAAAAATGACTCACTGACCAACATACATAAACATAAAGGTATAATGAATACACAATGATTACCAGTATTTCAGTATTAAGCTGCCTGTTTGATATCTTCATGTTAAAATTCATAATGAACCTTTCGATCATCAGCAAATACACTGAACAAAATTATAAACGCAACACTTTAGTTTTTGTCCCCATTTTTCATTAGCTGAACTCAAAGATCTAAGACTTTTTCTATGTACACAAAAGGCCTATTCTCTTAAATATTGTTCACAAATCTATCTAAATCTGTGTTAGTGAGCACTATTCTTTGCCGAGATAATCCATCCACCACACAGTTATGGCATATCAGGATGCTGATTAGACAGTATGATTTTTGCAAAAGTGTGCCTTAGGCTGGCCACAATAAAAGGCCACTTTAAAATGTTCAGTTTTACTGTATTGGGAGGGTCCATGGGGGTCCAAAAACCAGTCAGTATCTGGTGTGAACCACCATTTGCCTCACGCAGTGCAACACATCTCCTTCGCATAGAGTTGATCAGGTTGTTGATTGTGGCCTGTGGAATGTTGGTCCACTTCTCTAAATGACTGTGTGAAGTTGCTGGATATTGGCAGGACCTGGAACATGCCGATCCAGAGCATCCCAAATATGCTCAATGGTTGACATGTCCGGTGAGTATGCTGGCCATGCAAGAACTGGGATGTTTTCTGCTTCCAGGAATTGTGTACAGATCCTTGCAACAAGGGGCCATGCATTATCATGCTGCAGTATGAGGTGATGGTCGTGGATGAATGGCACAATAATGGGCCTCAGGATCTCATCACGGTATCTCAGGCAGATGAGCTTCCCTTAGATGGTTTCTGACAGTTTGTGCAGAAATTCTTTGGTTATGCAAACCGATTGTTGCAGCAGCTGTCCGGGTGGCTGGTCTCAGACGATCTTGGAGGTATAGATGCTGGGTGTGGAGGTCCTGGGCTGGTGTGGTTACATGTGGTCTGCGGTTGTGAGGCCGGTTGAATGTACTGCATAATTCTCTGAAAGCCTTTGGAGACGGCTTATGGTAGAGAAATAAACATTCAATATACAGACAATAGCTCTGGTGGACAGTCCTGCAGTCAGCATGCCAATTGCACGCGCTCTCAAAACTGGCACACCTTTGCAATAATCATGCTGTCTAATAAGCATCTTGATATGCCACATCTGTGTGGTGGATGGATTATCTCGGCAAAGTAGAAGTGCTCACTAACACAGTTTTAGACAGATTTGTGAACAATATTTAAGAGAATAGGCATTTTGTGTACATAGAAAAAGTCTTACATCTTTGAGTTCAGCTCATGAAAAATGGGGGCAAAAACAAAAGTGTTGCGTTTATGATTTTCTTCAGTGTAGGAAGTGGGATAGTCTTGTTTTTGAGTGAGATGGGTGTAACGGCACCCCGGGCATAAAAGGGTTAAACCGCCATTTAGTAGATCTTCCCTTCCAGAGACACAGGCACAGCTACTGTAGACACCAATCCACCGAACCGGAGAAGCATATGAATGCCGTAAACAGCTGAACCGGAACCACACGAATGCTGTAAACAGCCGAATAGGAAAAACCATACAAATAGGTTTACACTCCTAGCAGTCAAACTGGAACAGCATACAGTAAATCCCCCAAAAACGAGACAAAGCTCTGTGTTGAGAGTCAAGCAGTGAACAGACAGAGCTGTGGGTTTATTGTTCTTATATACACATTAGTACCACCCACAGGGTTTTGGAAAACAACCAATAAACACGTACAATACACTCAGACACTCCCACACAAAATCCTCCCCTCTGCCTGTGATACAATTACCTTACACAATGGGCAATGTAATTATCACAGGCAGAGAAATACAGTTTTTCCACATTATTTATAACTTTAAAAGTATGCATTTTACATTTTACATTTTCAGAATCAGCATACTCCAATTACAAACATACATCAAAATCATACAAATTGGTCCAGTGGTTCAAAAGATAGATTCTAGTCCTTTGTGACCAAATAAAGCATGGCGTTTCGGCCAAAAAACAGTTCCACAGAGTCTTCTACCCTGGAGATAATTGGGAAGTAATCAAATTATCTCCAAGGACAGAGGCAAAACTCCATTGAACACATGGCAGCAAAAGACAATAAAATACATAAAAATATATAACCGTGCAGCCATTGCATAAAACAGGTACATATCCCCAGATAGCTCAGATCTAAGCGCACATTATTACTGAAGCGTGCCCAGATCACACACATACAGTTCAATTGCCATGGAGCCAAAGTCTTTCCCAAAGTCTTTCATTATTCGAATGGGCTCCATGGCATAGCTATCTGGGGTATCACTGTTCAAACAGGGCAAGCACCGAATGACCCGGCTTTCGAAAATCAAGCATTTGAACATGGGGCCATAGTCTAAAGGCAGCAGGTGGGCAACCAGGCTCCTCCAATGTACAGTGGCGAGATTGGTCTCGTCACAATGTGCCATTTTCTTTTCAATTTATATTAAAACTTTATCAAATAACCTCATAATACATTTTGGGCAAGGTGAAGCCAAGGCAAATATCGCAAATAAAGAGGAGAAAAGGGAAAATTGTTTAATTTCACCTCTTCTCTGTATGCTTTTTCTATGATGATGGCAATGTGCAAAAGACAGAGTGTATAACGATTGACAGGGATCTAAAAGTGCTGTGTTCTACAACAATTAATATATATTTTGTACACTTCACAAATACATATATGTTCAATAGAGGGATAATTTATCAAAATGTTAAAGATACTAGGAAGTTACATGTATCTAAAACCACTGCCCCAGGATTGCCACTGTCTCAATACTAGTGCACCAGTACAGTACTCTCCACTAATATTGGCAACCTTGGTAAATATAAACAAAGAATGCTGTAAAAAGTTGTCTTTTCTTTAAGCTTTTGATCTTCTGTTCACAAATTACAGAAAATACTGTGACTGTGCTCTTATGGATATCAAACAATTGCAAACAGAACACAGGTTTATCCAAAAAAAATAGATCCTTTGTTAAATATATGTGTGGCACCCCTATGAATTCATAGGAGAAAAATATATTTAAAGTATATTCCCACTGATATTTTGCATTTTTAGTACAGCTGGGTGACTATGAACGGCTAATTGTTCAACTATGACTTCCTGTTTCACATTTTTATAATTATGAGGTAACACAAAGGCCAAATTCCCTTTGTCATTCATCACAATGGGTAAGACCAATATAGCTGTGATGTCCAGCAAAATGTTGTTGAGCTTCACAAAATATGAAGTGGCTGTAAGAAAGCAAAAGCATTGAAAGTGCCCATTTTCACCATCAGGGTAATATTTATAAAATGTACATCAAAATTAACAAGAAAATGGTTTACTGATTACAAAATCAAAGTCCTACCATGGCCATCCCAGTCCTCTGAATTGAACCCCATAGAAATCCACCAGCGTTGACCTAGAAAATTAAAGGATCTAGAGATTCTGTATGGAGGAATGATCTTAGATGCCTTGTCATGTATTCTCCAGCCCATCAGGCATTATAGGAGAAGACTCAGAGCTGTTATCTTGGCACAGGGAGGTAGCACAAAGTATTGACTAAAAGGCTGCCAATAATTGTGACATACCTATATTTAACACAAAAAAAAATTAAAACATCTTTTAAACCTGTGTTTGATATGATCAGACATATTATGCCAGAAATTATTAATATTAATCTACAAAGTATTTTGTGGATTTTCTGAACAAAAGATCAAACGGTTAAACAATAAAGACCATTTTCTTCTTTGCTCATATTTACCATATTTATTTATGGTGACAATATTAGTGGAGGACTACATATCTGTACTGGTGGTTATTTTTAGGGATAGCCCTAGTCAGGTCACTTGTTATATTTAGAAAGAGATGAGACTGCAGTGCGGTCTCACACATGGCACAGCTGTGTGGGGGCAGGAAATGTTGGAGAGGGATATTTGATATGATCGCTATTAAAGGATCTGTTGCGTTATCCATCATCAACTGTATCATTAGTTTTCAGTAACTTAAACCATATAAATACTTTTACAAGAAAAAAACAAAAAACAAAACTTGCATATTGAAATATAAAACACTCAATATAATCCACGATATATATATAATATATATTAGTTCATCAACATATACATATGCTATGCGTTTGATCATAAAAATAGCTTTTTCTCCAGCAATAGTGGATAGTGAAAAGCTTTTTTTTTTTGTATACAGACCTATTAAAATGCTTACATTTGTAACAACAGACAAATGTCAACCACATAACAGGAGGTAACAGGAGGGTGTAGGTACTAGGTTAGGTAATATTGGCACTAACATACTTTTCTTTTTAAGGTCTTAGACCACTGTGCTAAAGAACAAGTCTTAGTGGTTTACTCACTCAATGTGATTATTTTCTGCATGGGACCTTTGTAATTGTTAGAAAAGTATAAATGTCACCTATTTCAAATGTTTAATTTATATATATATATATATATATATATATATATATATATATATATATATATATATATATATATACACAATACACAAGATCCAGCGCACTCACCTATCCACTAAACAGCAACTTCAATGTTGAAAGATTTTATTTGTTTTTTAAAAACACCTAATCTAGGCAAAAATAATGGGGGTTTAGTTACATTATATGATCATACATTGCATAAGCCTGCCACAACGTCAATGTACCCCATCTTTGGCAGGTCCTACACTAACAGCCTAATGTCTGCTCTTATGAGATTAACCTACTTGGGGAAAAAAATTCCATCTGGGGCTCTCTGCAGTACAAGGCTAAATAGGGCCCTGGGATGAGGCACCTGTGACAGGGAGGGGTGCAAAACCCAGGAGTTGGCTAGACTCCCAAAGATATATAAAATAGGAGGGGGTTGGCTGCACTCACCTTAACATGCATAAATGGGGGTGCTGCTGGGGGCCAAATAATACAATACACAAGATCCAGAGCACTCACCTATCCACTAAACAGCAACTTCAATGTTGAAAGATTTTGTTTATATATATATATATATATATCAGATGGCATGTTGTTTGAAAATGATTACGAAATGCTTATGACATTTCTAGTTTGGGAAAATTTTGCACAAGATATTAACTAGGAACATTTTTACTACTATGACTTTCAAATACCCAGTTACCCAGTTCATATAATGCAATGCAAAACCAGTTTGAAAAAAACTTCATAACGTTATAACTGCTCAATGCATTTTATCCTGAGTTATTCATTGACACCTTCACTACCGAGCAATTTTTAAGTTGCAAAAAGATTAGCATAATATTTATTTGAAGCAAGGTATGTATAGCTAGTACATAAACATATTGTAACACAGCAGTTGTGTGAATACATTGCGTTGCAGACAAACATAAAGGGATACTATAGTCACCAGAACAACTACAGCTTATTGTATTTGTTCTGGTGAGTAGAATCATTCCCTTTAGGCTTTTCGCTGTAAACACTTTTAGAGATGCTTCCTGGGGCAGTCCTGCCTAGTTTGCAGCACTACTATTCAGTGTCTCCACTCTCTTCGTGCAGACACTGAACTTTCCTCATGTAGATGCATTGATTCAATTCATCTCTATGAGGAGATGCTGATTGGCCGGGGCAGTGTTTGACTTGTGTTGGCTCTGCCCCAAATCTGCTTCATTGGCAGTCTCAGCCAATCCTATGGGGAAGCATTGTGATTGGCTCAGACCAACACTTCTGATGATGTCAGCAGACAGAGGCAGTTCACATGCAAACAGGGGCAGAGGTAGCAGCTGCAGAATTTAATACAAGTAAAACTTTACTATAGTTAGGGAGGCATAAGGAGATCGGGGGAGCCAGATGGTAGTTTTATGACAAACATGTATTCCTGACCATATAGTGCTCCACAATTTTTATTTTTCACTTATTCGTTCAAACTTCATAAAAACAATTGTGAAATGAACAGCTATAGATAGTATACAGTGTCCTTTATCTTGCAATATTTCACAAAGAGTCTGAAATGTTAGGAAACAAGCAAAAAAATTTGGTTTTCTCACATATAGTTGATGTGACAAAAATTGGTAAATACAAATGGTCAAAAACCTTACTAATATGTTTTTGTAATGTCCCTGAAGCAGTGGCGGATCCAGAGCCTGATCTCGGGAGGGGCACTTGTAAATTATTTAAAGAAATAATCCAGACACAAAAACTACTACAGCTCAGTGTAGTGGTTATGGTGTCAATAGTGCCGGGACCCCCTCCTAGAGTAAGCAGTCAAACCGTTTAAGAACAGTTTGACAACTTACCTGAGGTCTGCTGGGAAATGGGGCGGTAGTAGGGCATAGGAGCAGTGGTGTGTGTGAGTGGTGCAATGTGTAAGGGGTGCAGTGTGTGTGTGTGTGAGGGGGACAGTGTGTGAGCAGTGTGTGAAGGTTGTAGTGTGTGAGTAGGGGGGGCAGTGTATGTCAGGGATGCAGTGTATGTGTGGGACAGTATGTGTGTGTAACAGTTGCAGTGTGTGTGTGGGCAATGTGTGTGTATGGGGCGGCAGTGTATGGGGGCAGTGTGTGTGTATGGAGGACAGTGTGTGTGTATGGGGGGCAGTGTGTGTGCATGGGGGGCAGTATGTGTGTATGGGGGGGCAGTATGTGTGTATGGGGGGCATGGGGGGCAGTATGTGTGTATGGGGGCAGCATGTGTATGGGTGTGTATGGGGGCATGTATGTATGTGTGTGTATGGGGGGGCAGCATGTGTATGGGGGCAGCATGTGTGTATGGGGCAGCATGGGGGGGCAGTATGTGTGTATGGGGGCAGTATGTGTATGGGGGGGCAGCATGTGTATGGGGGGCATGTGTGTATGGGGGCAGTATGTGTATGGGGGGGCAGTATGGGGGCTATGTGTGTGTGTTAAGGGTAGGGGGGCTTTTTTAAATAATATATATCTTTATTTATTTAATTAATAAAAACCAAATATTCTATGTCCCCCCTCCCTTCTTACCTTTATTGAGGAGGAGGGGGGACATATTTTCATCCCTGGTGGTCCCAGTGGGATTCCCTGGTGGTCCCAGTGGTTACAGTGAACTCTAGCCCGTGGTTCCCGGGCTAGAGTTCACTCTCGCGAGATTTGGAGCGTTGCCGTGGTAACCGCGGCAACGCTCCAAATCTCGCGAGAGGAGGACCCGGAGGAGCTGCAGACTGAGCTCCCGGGTCCTCCCTTTCACTCCCTCCCCTCCGCCGCCGGCTGTCAGCACAGTGCCTGCGGACCGGGGAGGGAGATCTCTGATCTCCCCTCCGGTCCGCAGGCACATTGCAGGGCTGACAGGGGAGGGAGAGGGAGACCGGCGGATTTCTCGGGGGGGGGGCAATTGCCCCGTTGCCCCCCCCCTGGATCCGCCAGTGCCCTGAAGCATGACATGCAGAGCAGCTTACTGAAAATGTAAACAGTCTGTAAAAAGAATGTTCACAATTAATCATAATGTCCATATACAGTAAATACTGTTAAATCATATATTTCTAAAATAATGGCATGCAAACCTGCTATATCAGTCGTTTTAAATCTGTGAACTGCTAATGTAATGTCTATTCACTCCGAACTGTCCCATGACTGTAAAAATAAAATGATACATATAAAGGAAGACTATAGTAACCAAAACAATGCAGCATTTTTTTCTGTATATATCATGCCTCTGAATTCTCACTGCTCAATTCTCTGTCATTTAGAAGTTAAATTACTTTTGTTTCTGTTTATGGAGCCTTATCCACACCTCTCATAGCTGTGACTAACACATCCGACATGAAAAAAAGTGGTTTTAATTGTAATCAGATGTTACTTACACATTCAACTTTTTATTTCCAACTCTGTAAATTGAAGTTTAATTGCATAGCTAAGGCTCCTGCAGGGTCTAGCAAGTTAATAACAGAGCAGGAGATAAGAAAGCCTAGATTAAAAAGAATTGGCAGTAAAGAAAGTGTAAACATTAGATGACTCTTTACAGAAAATGTTTTGGAAGGCTATGTAGGTCACATGTAGGGAGGTGTGACTAGGGCTGCATAACCAAAGTAATTTAACTCCTAACTGGAAGAGAACTGAGCAGTGAGAGTGAAGGGGGATGATCTGTACACCAAATTTGGTTCATTAAGCTAAAAATGTTTTGGTGACTATAGTGTCCCTTTAAACTTCATGTAATATTTGAAAGCAGAGGGTGAGCTGACATTTTCATTCGTTATATCAGAGACTAGTGGCTTCAGGCAGAGAAATGCATTCATTTACAGCAGGAGTGGTCAAAAGGTAGACCTCCAGATGTAAAACGACAACTCCCATGATGCTTTGCATGCCTTTAGAATGCTTTAGAATGACAAAGCATTATGGGAGCTGCAGTTTTACAACATATGGGACACCCCTGATGCACAAGCTGTTAATCATAACAAGAATATAAATGAGGGTTAGTGAAGCTGTATGGATTACATTTTTTTACGGCAAAAAAAAAAAACGAAAAGAAAACTTTTTATACTCTTTTTTGGTATTGAAGGGGTTAAGGCTTGCCGGGTTACTCACTAAACCAGAAATTTTCATAATAACTCTAAATATAATTTATGGACTCAAGCATATGTGGTATAATCAGACCCGTATAAAGCAATTCAGCTGGCATTCAGCTGTCACATATGCAACACATCTGCACGTTTTTAATTACTGTGACTAGGGATAAGTTGAATAATGTTTCCAAATCAGCACATCTCACCTACATTTTGCAGTTTTTAATTCACCTCAATTTAGTGTTCAGTTGATGAAACCTACATACTTTGATCCAATTTTAATTATCCATAAACAATGCCATATATTTCGTAGATTGACATATACAAGAGCTCAGTTTTTCATTATAAAGTAGAGCATGGAACTCTCAAAGGTTAATGTCAGTATACTGAACATGTGCATGAACAGTTAAATCTGGACAGGCTTTCTAATAAATAAATAATACAATAGATATTATCATACTTGACAGTTCATTAAAATGTTTTCTTCTTCTGACATGGATTTTTCTGTCATGTAAAAAGACTCTTTCTTGGATTTTTATTGAATAAGTTTCCCATTGTACTTCCTCCTCTCATAGTATTTTCAATCTGCTCATTTACTGATATGTTCTAGTTTCAGCCAAAAGTGTTTTCTACTCAGATCCACCAGTTTCCTTATGCTAGTACATCGTTACTCAGCAATGCTTCTTATGATTTCAGTTCTCTCTTCCTTTGTATTTCTTGATGTGATGTTCTATCTTTACTTGATCATCTTTGATTCATCATTGCTAATTAAATTGTAATCAGATGTTACTTACACAATCTAATATTCTATCTCCTTTGCAGACAGAACTCAGTAGTTGTATATCGATGTTGGTAGCTGCCAATGACAGAATCCAATGTATACTCAGTCAGCTTGAAGAGTCATGCAAAACTGTACAGGTATTTATATGTGTAATTACTTATTTTGCCTCCATACTTAGTTAAACTATAAAGGGTCTATAATAAAAACATTGGTGTCTGTCACAATGATGTCTATGGATCACTGGACCAGTATTGTATTTCATATTAATAAAGTATTTGCAATACAGATTAGTGTTTTAGTGGTTAACCCCTAAAACACCAAATGTTATTAGTGCAGTGCTATTGAAAGTGTAAAGTACAACATGAACTCACCCTTCAATAATCAGAGTGGGTTAAGTCATACATAAAAAGAAAAGTATATAGTGTGAATCTGTTACACAATGGGTAAACTATAGTGGTGAGGGTGAGTGGTAATAAACTCACATGGTAAAGAGCCTTTTGAATATAGGCTCTAAACTTTGAAGCTGGTATGCCTTCGGGTGACATACAACCCCTCTTGTTCTTCTGAATATGCAGATATACTTTTCTCTGTATGGTGTATATATAACAGGGGGATGAAGAGAAGTCTCCTAAGTGCAGTGTGTTGAAGAATAATAGTAAACTAAAAACACATACATATAGGAACACTAACCTGGTAAGGAGCCCTCCAAACTGGCTCTGAGTTCAATCGCTTCTGTGTCAATTTTGGGTGACACTGCCCCTGTGATACCCGGTATAAGGAGTCTGGATCCTATCGTAAAGTGCACACAGTGCTCTTTATTTAGTAAAATATAATTAAAAGTAAAAGTATAAAAAACTATTATAAAATAAACAACCAAATGTTCCACATTTGTTGTATAAATTGCTAAATAACCAAATCCACCTGCCCCACCCCTCGCAACCAATAGAATCTGTTTATTATTTACTTACTTGCCAATAACTTTGTTCAACGCTTTGCTTCCATGTCCATCTCTCTCTATCTTACATGCAGGACTCATTAGGACTGCTCTAATTATTATTATTAATATGTTTGGCATTTATATAGTGCCAACTTATTCCACAGTGCTTTACAATATTTCAAAAGGAGGAAATTTAACAATAAATGAGACAATTACAAAAGTTGACAGGAACAAAATGTTCCTGAGGGCCTTGATCTAATCTAATACTATGCTCCAACCTTGTAGAACAGGCTTCCCCAAACTCCGGCCCTCCAGATGTTGCTGAACTAAACCCCCATGATTCTCAGCCTATTTCATTCACAGAATCATGGGAGTTGTAGTTCAGCAACATCTGGAGGGCCGGAGTTTGGGTATATCACAATATTTTTACATAGGTATCCTAATTAATTACAATTAGCGGGACCTGCCTGACAACCCATGCCGAATTTTAATTGAAGATTATGCTAGCTTTAGTGTACTAATAATCTTAATTTTAATAATGACAGGAGGCGAGTATTTTGCATATCTCTCTTTACTAACTCCATACAGCAGTAAAGAAATACATAGAAAAAAGAACCAATCACAGGAGAGCAGGATGTACACAAGGCAATGTGACCTTATCATTTCCTCTTTCAGAAAGCGACAACAAGCAGAAGTAAATATATAGCAAACAATAAAACTAATAATAACTCCAAGTTCCCATGTGTAAAGGAGCAAACTTCCAAAGAATTCTATACGAACAACGAAAAAGAGTTCAGGGTTGAGACAAATCCGAAGGATAAAATCTCCAATAGTTTCTCACATGAACTGCCAATTATCTTCAGAGACGAATCATTCTGAAAAGAGAATGTGTGACAGGTTTAGACATAGTCACGAACATGTAACTCCAATTAATGTACCACCTAACATCCCATTGGAGAATATAGTAACTATAATCTGATAACTGAGTAATTGTAATGAGAACTCTAATGAGGATTCCATATTAATGGAAGTACGAACATATCATATAAGCACCAATGTGAGAGGCAAACCTACCTTAGCACCTGATATCTGCAAAGCAAACGAATAGAAAGGGTGGGCAGCGAAGTAGGGGGGGAAATACTCGCCTCCTGTCATTATTAAAATTAAGATTATTAGTACACAAAAGCAAGCATAATCTTCAATTTTACCACATGACAGGAGGCTTCGTATTTTGCATTTTTAACGCTGAGAAAAGAGTATAGAACTAAATAAGAGTCCTACAGTGTGCCAAGAGACCCAGTATTCGGTGTTGTGGGGAGGTCTTCCCCGTTGAGCGCCCACGTATACACCATCTAATGGGAAATTATACAAGACCAAGTCTGACCGATTGTCAGCAGGATGTTTAGTCCCGTATAGTGAAAGGAGAACGACCTCCACAACTCATAAGCTGGAGAGGTATGACATTGGGTAGTTGGTATTCTAGAGGATCCTAGTCCCTTGGGCGTCCTCAGGTAGTGATAACGGCTGCAGTTCCGTCTCCATCCTCACATAAGGGATCAAGATGCAGGACCGAACCAGACAGGTTGGGAATGTCCAGATGTAGGGGTAGGGTCTGGGTTCCCAGATTCTCAAGAGGTCCCCGGCAGCCTGCGATCGTCCGCTGACCTGCCAAGAAACCTCCAAAGCAGGTCCAGGTCCCCAGGTAGCCGACCCTACTGGAATAGAAGATGTGAGTACCCTACGGCTCCGTGAGGAATTATTTGTCATGAATGTAGCAGGAGAAGATCCTTGCCTGCTCGAGAATTACTGTAGACCTTGTAAGCATGAGAAGCATAAGTCCTCCAGGGAGGTCCGGTCGGACGGAGCGTGATCACCATCGTGCCTCGACTTATACTGTGACGAGTGGTAATATCTAAATCAGTCGGCCCCTATAAGATGTGTCTCCCCCGGGAGACTGGTTGATCTTCTGTGAAGAAGACGGGGATCGAAGGAGCCTACATGTTGTCTGAAAAACGTGAGTTGGTCCATCGCGGTGGATGTGAAACCTGACCGCCTAATCTGTGGTTACCTGCAGTAGGGTGTAGCTGATATAGTACTTCTTTATCAATCCATGTATTGTGAAGTATAGGACCAAGAATTCTAGGTATACAACGTACAGGGTCGCGGTCGTGCCGGGAAGAGTCGTACGAATATTTCCAAGTTGTAGAATAGTCTGCGAATCCTCTGAGTGAATAGTCTTCTACAAAAGGTTCCAGCCGGTTCTTGGATGAACGTGGATGTTGACGAGTTTTCAGTTCACTGGAGTGATCTGAATGAGGTTCTCCCGGAAGAGAGTGTCTCGTCTTCCCCGCCTGTATTCATTACTTCTTTCTGTAGTTTATCATGGCCCACCAGGCTCCGAGCTACTGGATTGGGAAGGAGAGGATGTCCCCTGAAAACTGGGTAAGGTGGTCGAGCGGGAAGCAAGAAACCGTCCTGACGTGTCTTTAGGTCCTGAACGCAAGTCGGTTGACTACGTGAAAGTGGTCTTCCCCAGGATTGAGTGCCCTTCACCTAGATGTGGTGAAATCCTCTGTGGATGTAGTAGGAGGTATATCGATGGTATCTGTGCGTACCGTGTTCTCTGACTGGATGAGAGCACAATCCGTTTCATTGTGTGCAATGCACCATGCAGACCCCTGCAGGGTGTAGTAGTGTGAAATTTATTGTGTGCAATTTATTGTCTCAAAGTATCAAAACAACACCAGCAGGGTGTGTGATATTTAGTAGTGTGCACTTATTGTGTGCAATTTATTGTCTCAAACTACCAAAACAACCCCAGCAGGGTGTGTGATATGGGGTACCCCAGCAGGGTATCTGTTGTAGTGTAAATAATGCCAGTGGACCCCAGTAGGGTCTGTATAAATGACAGTAATGTGTAATAACCCCAGCAGGGTATCCTGTATCTGTCACTTAGTTTTGTCAAATTGTCCCAGCAGGGCAAACCACAATATTGGGATTTGTATAACTGGGCCTCACCCAGGATCACAGAGGTGGCCACATGGCTACCTCTAAAAAGCAGCACGGTAATAGGGGTAGCACCATAAGCAGGCACAGGGTAATAAGCTCTTTAGTGCCCAATATGGCATTAACGAGACAAAAAGTGACCATTATCAGACATAGAGTTGTGCTGTAGATTCCTGAACCCTGATCCAGGTGATATCCCTTCAAATCTCCCATCACTGATATGTACTTATACAGTACCATCTTGATAGTCTGTGTCCAAGGGTGCTATCCCTTTAAGGAATTCAAGGGTGATATCCCTTTAAGGATTTGGTATCCCTTTTAAGTAGTTCCAGAGTGGTATGCTTTTAAGGAGTTCCCTATAAGGGTCCCAGAATGGTATCTTTAAGGAATTTGAGGGTGCTATCCCTTTAAGGGATTTTTGGGGGTGTTATCCCTTTAAGGTTCCAGTACCTCAAACCACTATACACGAGTACGACTCAAATCTGTAAATAAAAGGCCAGTTAGAATACTTACCTTTGCCTGGATTTGAACTTGGGGTCCAACGTCCATGTCAGAGAATCGTGAGCCCAAGAGCAGCTAGGCTAACTAACAGCCCAGGTATATGTTACTCTTGAGCGCCGAAATTGTGGTGGGCGAGAGTAGCAAAAGGGCCATCCATAATATTGCGAGATTAAAGATGGCCGCCGAGGGTAAAGGAGGGGGAACATGGTCCCTGGAGTCTCGGTAGACGCGGGATCAAAGATTGCCGGCTGCGTCATGCTCGGGCTACCTCGTGGTCGCCCTACAGACTGCCCTGCACCAAGGTCGTGGATGTTGGAAAGCATCCAGCACATTACCAGGTGTACGGTATGGGGCAGCCTGAGAGAGCGAGGGCAGTGAGTCCGGCTGTCCCCCTGAGGATTGTAGAAGGAAGGGGCTGAATGGAGAGGCCGGAAGAAGGGGTTAATGCCCGGGAGCCGGTGGGAGCCGACGGGAACCGCGGAAGGGAAGGGGTTAAGCCCCAGCCAGACCCTGAATCCCCATGAGATCCTGGGGGAAGGAGGAAAGCGGGGAAAGAGGGTCCCCAGATGCCTCAGGTATAGAAGACCAGGAAAATCGCCAGAAAAGTCATGATACATATGGTATAAAGTACATCTACCATAATTATACATAAAACCTATTAAGTCAATAATAACATTTATTAAATCCATGTTATAAAATACATATGACATCTATTAAAAACATATAAAGTACATATAATACTTATCAAAACAAAGGATGAAATGCCTATAAAACTGATAAATTACAAGTGATATTAATCACAAGTAAAGGTAATGAAATAAGGATAACATTAAATCTACATAATATCTATGAAATAACATAGAAAAAACACAACTGCACATAGTACAGAAGCACAGCAAGAACATACAGTAAAGTATATAAAAATATAATACAGAAACAACCTCAAAGAGGCAATAGAAACATAAGTAATGGAGAAGAGTAATACTCTGACCTGTCTGCTTGATGGAGCAGTAAAGAAAGAGGAAATGATAAGGTCACATTGCCTTGTGTACATCCTGCTCTCCTGTGATTGGTTCTTTTTTCTATGTGTTTCTTTACTGCTGTATGGAGTTAGTAAAGAGAGATATGCAAAATACGAAGCCTCCTGTCATGTGGTAAAATTTGCTAGCACTATATTTAACCCTATAACTTTCCAAGACATCATAAAACCTGTACATGGGGGGTACTGTTCTACTCGGGAGACTTCGCTAAACACAAATATTAGTGTTTCAAAACAGTAAAATGTACTACAACGATGATATCGCCAGTAAAAGTGAAGTTTTTTGCATTTTTCACGCACAAACAGCACTTACACGGACGATATTATTGCTGTGATACTTTTTACTGTTTTGAAACACAAATATTTGTGTTCAGCGAAGTCTCCCGAGTACAACAGTACCCTCATGTACAGGTTTTATGGTGTTTTCAAAAGTTACAGCGTCAAATATAAGGCTTGTGTTTCATTTTTTTCACATTAAAATTCGCCAGATTGGTTACGTTGCCTTTGAGACCCTATGGTAGCCCAAGAATGAAAATTACCCCTATGATGGCATACCATTTGCAATAGTAGACAACCCAAGGTATTGCAAACAGGGTATGTCCAGTCTTTTTTAGTAGCCACTTAGTCACAAACACTGGCCAAAATTGGCGTTTTTTGCATTTTTCATACACAAACAAATACTAACGCTAACTTTGGCCAGTGTTTGTGACCAAATGGCTACTAAAAAAGACTGGACATACCCCATTTGCAATACCTTGGGTTGTCTACTATTGCAAATGATATGCCATTATGGGTGTAAATTTCATTCCTGGGCTACTATAAAGTCCCAAAGGCAAGGTAACCAATCTGGCGAATTTCAATTTCAAATGTAACGTGCTATATTTGACCTTGTAACTTCCTAAAACGCCATAACACCTGTACATAGGGGGTACTGTTTTACACGTGAGACTTTGCTGAATACAAATATGTGTATTTTATTGCAGTAAAAGCAAACAGTATTATGACATTGACCATTAAAATGTCATGTAGAACTAAAAAAAAAAATCTTATTTTCTCCCATTTTTTTTCATATTAAATTATGTTTCATAGCTAAATATTTGATATTAAATGAAAGCCCTGTTTCCCCCGAATAAAATGATATATAATGAGGTTGGGTGTATTTAACATGAAAGAGGTGAATTACAGTTGGACAGACATGTAGCGCAAATGCCAGGTTTTGTTTACATTTTGTTTCGTTCACAACATGTACATTTGGCTCAGTCCTTAAGGGGTTAATCATACTATGCCTTCTCACTTTCCCATAGTATATGACATTTTTTACCATACCTCCATATTTTTGTAGGTTATATTGGCCTAATATTCAGGTATGGCTTTATAAACACAATGGTGACTATGACCCTTATCTCTTTTTTGTTAATCCTTTAAAGAAAAACTGCCAAAAAAGAAAAGTGTCTGTGATTGAAGCATTTGAAGTTTTGAGCAGGATCTTAGAAGAGACAAAAGCACATCTTACTCAGAGGATTTCAAAAGCTGAGGAGGAGAAACTGAATTTTGTGCGTTCTCTTGTACACAACTACCAAGAACAACTCCAGTCTTCCTCAAATCTATTAAAGAATGCCTTCCAGGCCATGGAACATTCTGGAGCTGCTAACTTCCTGCTTGTGAGTCATTCACGTGTAAAACCTGGTTACTCAATAAGTTCCACACTTGTTATGGTTATTCAAAAAATCTAATTTGTTGAAATCTAATGCATTTTTAGAAATGATTCACAGCATTAAACAAACTTTTAAGACCACATCAGATTTGACATGGACTTGATATCTTTCTGAAACAATAATTTAGTTGATACTATACTTATCAAATTTAGGCCGGTTATGTGATCATATGAAATTCCGATATCTGATCCATCACTGCCAGAATTTGGCACCAGTAAAAGGGGAAGGATGGATTTGAGTAAAGGTTTTATTTATTTTTTACAGAGAAGGTGGGGGAGAGGTTAAGACGGGTGCAAATAAGAGCTGAGTTACCCATAATAGACAATAAATCTGTTAAATTATGTGGGCTGGATCCTGGATCTCTTATCCAATAGTGGTGGTCATCAAAGCCACTCTTTAGTGAGGACTTAGCGCAGAATACCAAAGTAGTGTCTTCAATCTCTGGTGTTGGTGATGCATCCGACAACGATAATTCAGATTTTCCCACAGCTACATTTTACCGCTTTCACGGGAGCTATTTAACTAGGAGTATGATGAGGCAAGGGAATTAGAAGAGGAGAAGAGGACAGGCAGCAGCCCAGTGTTTTCTCCAGCAGCTAGTGTACACTCTCCTCCTGCATCTTGCCCACCCTAATTACATAGTTAGATAGGCTGATAAGAAACATGCGTCCATCAAATTCAACCTTTCTCACATCTGTTTTTGCGGTTGATCTAAAGCAGAAGTACTTTCCAGTTTTGCTGAGGGACATCAATGCTGGTATCATGTAAGTAAATAAAGGATTATTAAACCCTTTACAATATAGGGAGGAGGGGCTGCGGGGACTGAGGAACACGGTAGTGTTAGGAATACATCTTTCCTATAAGTGACATGAGGACAGCGGTCAAATCACTGACGTAGTCATGGTGCATTGTGTTTGTGATCTCTCTTATCTAGCATACCTTTTTTTCCTAATTTTAGAGATTTTGTCAAAATGATGTCATGTAGGCTGTTCTGCTCTAATACCTAATTTTCTTTTCTCTGCATCAACCCTCTCTATTGGAATCTCCTCTTTTAAAGAACTCCAAGCAGTTGATTAAAACGTAAGTGACATTTCACAAATCACACATAAACATTATATTAAAGAGTAATGTAAGAACAATGTTGGGATACAGCTTTAACATATATATCAAATAGCATGTTATTCATATAGAGCTCGGTGAAACATCTCAGAGGCACTGAGTGTGCAACTATGGCCAGTCAAAACATAGATTTTACATTAGTAAAGTGGCATATACTTGTCTCGCATACTTAGGTATCATTTGTGTGATTAGAGAGAGAGAGAAAGGTAATATGGTAAATGCTCAATACTCTTCTATGTGCAGGATAATGGAAGCATCTAAAGGCTGTCAGTTGGAAAAAACAGATCCTGGGTTTGAGAATATGGACCAGTTCATGCTGGATGTGGAGCAAGTCAGTCATTTCCTGAAAAGCATAGATTTCAGCCCAGGTAATTAGGCTGATATTGATACCTGTGGGGCTTTTTGGATTGGGATTTGTCAGTTTAAATAAATATATATATATATATATATATAGATATAGATATATATATATATATATCTATATCTATATATATATATATATATATATATAGATATATATATAATTTTGAAATGACAGGTACCAGAGATGTCTCATTAAGCTTTATTCCACAAACCAGCTAACATAAACTGGGCCACTTCTTTTCCACCTCTCTGTGCAAGTCTCAGGCCTTATTCCACAAACTCATATCGCTGAACATTTTCAACATTTTATTCAGTATTCAGCTGAGTACTTTCAATTTAGGGGTGTGACTTGGGCTCTGACCAAAGTGACTTACTAAAAACAATTTATGCAACTAAAACTAATTTAGAACATTTAGAGCATAATATAACTTATTTACACAGACTGATATATAAACACATTTATTATTTATTATTATTATTTATTATAACATAGTTATTCATATTTTGGCTGATAGAATTTGGTTGTCAAATATTTCAATTTGATACAACAAATGTTTGCTCTACATCCACCCTTTTTTCCTCCTAGCAAATTCCTTTAAATAACATGGTCTATCTCCAATACTGCTCAATAGATCTAATTTTTCAAACCGGCCAACAGAAACTGAGCCGCTTCATTTCTACTACGCACTATCCACCAAACGGCTCACCCTGGTTCCTTTCAACTTTATAACATGCTTTTCGAGCTGTTGTCTCAATTCCCCTTTTCAGCCTCTAAATTGTAAGCTCATGGACTAAGTACTTTGTACAAAAAGTGCTTCAGTGTCTAGATCTCAGCTCAAGGGAAATATAGGGTGTAGGAACAGGCCCTAACATATTGCAATGCCAATGTAGAATATTGAGTGACTTGGTGTATCTTATGCAGGCTGTGAAGATGACGAAGACGACATGGAGGAGTATGAAGAAACAGAAGAGGATAGGCCTGAGGGTAAGAACTGACTTCTTTGCAAAAGAAAGGCATAATTAACAGGAACAGGCACATGGCAGCAGTATTAGGAATGGACCATTTGTAGTATCACAGATAATGGGTAAGCTAAAATTCATTGTGACTGGTAATGTGTGCTTTAACTATTAATTTGTGTATTCACAGTGCATAGAGACCGTGTGAAAACCCCATAGGAAGGAGGGAGAGTACCGTGTGCTATTATCTCAATGAAAGGCGGAAAATTAAGAAAATCACATGAGCCTGTTTGAAGGAGAGCCTGCAGGCAAATAACTCAGGACTGCTGCTATTAATCAGGGAACCTATATTTAGGTCACTGTGATCAGGGTGTATATATTTGTCAAATTAATATATAAGCTGATGGGTGATGTGACTGAATTTGGCTAGTTCACAGGTTTCAGGGAATCCTGTCTGGAGGACAGGATGAGGGGCTCACCAATTTGTTAATCTCAATCTGTTGTGATGTAGATTAATTCATTTTTATTGCACCTAAATAAAACTGTTTTTAGTGTTGGTATTTAGACTTTTTATTTATAAATGAGCATGATCCCTTGTACAGCGCTACAGAATTTGCTGGCGTTATATAAATAATAAAATAATAATAATAATGATGTTAAAGAGTATATGTGTACGTCACAATGTGGGTTATATTTAAGAACTGTATAAAATGGCTAAGATATTTTTTCCAATCAAGTTTAATTGAATTTCGTAGAAGTACATGAAAGGTGATGCCCTAAATCCCACAGGTTTATTTAAGATTTAACAAGAAGCTTGCTTATACGACACGAGTGAGACACAGAATCTGTCTCTTATCCAAGAATTAAAGTTAACAAGCAGATAATTTCCTGTTTTGCTTATTCAATGCATCCCAAACTATAAAATACCTAACAAGAAACCGCACAAGAAACAAAACAGGTAAACTTAAAGGACCACTATAGTGCCAGGAAAACATACTCGTTTTCCTGGCACTATAGTGCCCTGAGGGTGCCCCCACCCTCAGGGACCCCCTCCCGCCCAGCTCTGGAAAGGGGTTTAAACTTACCTTTTTCCAGCGCTGGGCGGAGAGCTCTCCTCCTTCTCTCCTCCTCCGTTCCACCCCGTCGGCTGGCTGCGCGCGCATTCAGCCGGTCGCATAGGAAAGCATTCATAATGCTTTCCTATGGACGCTGGCGTGCTCTCACTGTGAAAATCACAGTGAGAAGCACGCAAGCGCCTCTAGTGGCTGTCAATGAGACAGCCACTAGAGGATTAGGGGGAAGGCTTAACCCATTAATAAACATAGAAGTTTCTCTGAAACTGCTATGTTTATTAAAAAATGGGTTAACCCTAGCTGGACCTGGCACCCAGACCACTTCATTAAGCTGAAGTGGTCTGGGTGCCTAGAGTGGTCCTTTAAGGAAAGATAAAAAACAAGAACAGAAATCTGAAAAAAACTTTCTAATTTCTTTACGGCGGTAGATCCTAAGCTGGACAGAGATACATCCTCAGTGGAAGTACCAGTATGAAGACAACTCTGATTAAAAAATTAATAGTGACCAAAAAAACATTACTCCTGAACATCTTCAAGAATGTTTTGATATGCACAAAAGTGTGAGGGTAACAGGAGGACATTGGTAGAGTATCCTATGGAGTGGAATACCCTACTAGTTGCAGTAAACAGTAAGGGTACAGTAGAGAACCTTACGTGAAACCTTAATGCGTGAATATTAAAACTTAACTTTTACTGATAAATTTCTAATATATAAAGACTGGCGAGAGTCAACACCCAAAAACACTTGTGTGTAAAACAAAAAGTAAATGAATCAAATAGAATAAAATCAACACTTTTCTGAGACTTGCATAAAGTACTCCACACACGTGTGGAGACTATTGTCTAAACTGTGTAGACAATAAGTCGGGTACAGAGTGCCCAGTAGTATCTGGAAGTCCCAGCCAGGTATTTGCCAACACTTGTCTGTGATATGTCGCAATTTGATACAAAAATTTGTAGTGGGGATTATTGTCTAAACTGTGCGTGGTAGCTATAGTTAAAAGACAAAAAGTCGGGGAAAGAGTGCCAATTTGTATCCGGGGGTCACAGCAAGGTGTTTCCAACACTTGTCTGGGATTAGCAGCAAGTTGAAACAAAATAATAGTGGGGGATTATTGTCTAAACTGTGCGTGATAGCTGTAGCTAAAGACAATGAATGCCCACTAATTAGTAGAAAACGAAAGAAGTCTCAACAAGTTGAGCTGTATAAAACTGGTGAGAGTCATCACCCAGAGTATCTGGGAGTCGCAGCAAGGTGTTTCCAACACTTGTCTGGGATTAGCTGCAAATTGAAATAAATGCATTGTGGGGATTATTGTCTAAACTGTGCGGGATACCTTGTAGCTTAAGACAATAAATGCCCACTGTCACGAATGCACCCTACTCCAAGAGTGTGTGTGATGTAGTTGTGGTGGTGAAAGGGTTAAAGTACACTATTTGTCTGCACTAGACCGGAAATAATGACAAAATCTACCTTTTAACACCACCCACACTTAAACATAATAATATAACTATTACTATTTTATCACTGCCAAGACAATTTATAAATGGGGTGCCTTGGTCCCCCAGGTAAATCAATAATAAAACCCACCAAATATTACTTAGTACAATATTTAAGGAATTACAAAAATGCTAACTAGTCTCTTCAGGTAACGTGATTCTTAACCAGACAAAGGCAGAACTTAATAAATTAATGTTTATTATGAGCAAAAAATAGTCACAACAGATAAAAACAAAAAGGATAAAATACAGGAGTCCTAATTACTCACTTTGGTTTTCAAAGTACAACTTCTGCCCAGGGGGTCTCTGGCAAGGAAAGATGGTGACTCACTTAGAATTAGATTCTTGGCCCCAGCAAGTACACTAGCACCCTTCAGGATCATTAGAGATATACCCTGTGGATTACCACACCTCAGCCAGAGGTGGAGTTAAGGCGTATCTATAGAGATACTAAGTGACCACCCCCTTGTGTCCAGACCCACATCAATTTGGTTGTATCTTCTCTTATGTACCCGCCACAGAAATAATAATTGCATCTATGAATTTATTATTTTCCCATTCTATACATATGTTGCATGCCGGCCTTGGGATCCGATAGGATGGACACCACAATTCCTTCCCTCATGGTCAAGTTAGGCCACTCATGTTTGGACTTGGTTAGAAGATGGCGCTTGACACATTACAAATATAACAAACATTAGGCTTTATTATTATTCTGTGGGGAGGGTGGGTAAATATGAATGATTTTGTCCTTCCTTTGGATATGATACTGGAACAAGGCTAATAGCATTTACATATCAAAGAGATTAGCTCATCCCTTACAAGGTACATGCCAAATGGATGAAGAGACATTCAGACTTTTTCCAAGTGTAGAATCTCACACCTTGCAGAGCCTTGATTACTTCACATCCATATAGTAAAATCCTTTTCACATTGCTATGCCATTCATACTACCCCTTCTGTCACCTGACCTCTGTGGGGGTCCCAGCTTCAAAAGATGTAACCCCTTTTGACCTCAACAATACCATCTCTGTAATTTGTGCCATTTACTACACAAATTACATTAAAGGATAATATTCCATAGTATAATAATAAATTATGCATCCTTGCCGTGACACCCACTAATTAATAAATCAAATAGATTAAAATCAACACTTTTCTGAGACTTGCATAAAGTACACCCTCGCCTAGTGTATAAGGCACCTACAATCTCCCTATCTCCACCCCCACATTTTGAAGGTAATACTCAAGAATGTCAGGGATTTCTTAATCAGATTGAGTACCATTTTGAAGCATCACCTGGGTCCTTACCCATGGATAGAGCTAAAATTGTGTATTAAATGAACCAACTGAAAGGTAAAGCCTTAGTTTGGGCCAATCCATTATGGGAGAGTAATAGGACTATTGCCTACAAGTACCAGGAATTCCAGGAATTGTCAAATTCAAATTAAGGTTTGGACCATTGGGAAGGGAGAACAATGCTGCCACTGCCCTAATGCGTATCAAACAAGGGAACCGTTCTGTCTCAGATTATGCCATAGAATTCTGCACTCTGGCTTCTGAGGTAGACTGGACTAATAACAGATTAATCACTGCATTTGCAGAGGGATTATCTGAAGCTATCCTTGATGAAATTGCAGCCAAAGAACTACCAGGGAGGTTATGTGACGCATATCGATAACCGACTTAGGAACAGGGAGATAACTAGAAGCAGAAGTTTGAATATGTCACTGGCACCTCACTTCTCCAATCTTGTTTTCCCTGGCCCTTCTGTGCAGTCTGAATCTGAACCTATGCAGTTATGGGTTATGAGACATCAGAAGCAGAGAAAGTTCAGGAGAAAAGAAGGCCTTTGCTTATACTGTGGCAAGAAAGGACCTATAAGAAATGCTTGTCCCATATGCCCGGAAAACTTGCACACGTAAGAGCCATCAGGTGTCATGTATATGTCCCCCGGTACTACCCAAAGTTGATTTCTCCTTAGTGTTGCTGCTCAATGCAATAAGATAAGTTTTACGTGTAACGACCTGATTGACTAAGGCGCTGCTGAAAACTTTATTGACATGTAATTTGCCAGTAAACACCTTATACCCACCAAGAATAGAACTTCACCCCTGGCCATCGAGGCCATTGATGGGAGGCCACTCTCTCAGACTCTTATTACCCAGTGTCACGATAGCAGTGTTTGTCAAGATCCTGTCCTTACAAGCAAGACTTTTGTTATGTATATTCTGTTCTTTTAAAAACCAAGTTTCGACATTGATTAATGATTTTGTTTTACCACTAGTGGCCTCCATTGCCTCTAGTTTGACCACTCACCTCATCATGCTCACCTGCTTGGACTAATTTGGGTTCCTCCAAAAGGTAACATCCAACTCACCACTTGGCCTTTACATTGAAGTTGATGATTGCCTGAAAAGATTTCATAACCTGGCTCCTGAGTTATCCTGGGGATTTTCTTTATTGGCTTCATAACCTGCTATACTCACCAACCTGCTCCAAACTTACCTGTACAACTCTTCATTCCTGCCTTATCTACAAACCTGCAGCAAACCAACCTGAACTCCCTATATTCCTTCTGAACATCCAACTTGCTTAAAACAACACTGGACTTTAATTTACTTTGTGGCTATCTATTCACTCCTACAATGGATTTACTGATATTCCAAACTATATTTGCGTCTATCAAAAAGGACCTGCTACTACTATATAACCTCTTATCCAAAGAGACTGAACAACTACAACCCTATTTAAGTATTCATTATATTTCTGTCTAGTTCTGTTTAGTTATTTCTTTATATCGTGTTCTGGGGCATATTGCCTAAATCCTGTTTCCTATTATCCCTCTATATTGTACCTACAATCTCTCTTATAGGTTTATCTTCAATTACCTATAACTTCTTTTATAGATTTACCTTATTTCAACTTTGGTCTTGGTGTCTTAATCCTTTATTTCTTAGGCTATGCAACTCCCTGTATATTTAGACATTATGTTCTGTTCACTATCTTTCATTCCTATAACTACAGTTATAGGATATCCTAATCTTACAAGAATGTCTAAGATAAATAAAGACCCTCAAATCAACCCCAGTTTCAGTCTCATCCCTGACCTGCACAAGATCATGACAGTGTTACACAATTATTCATCACATTTCAGATAATTGCTTCCCCTTCTTGTCCCCTTCTTATACTTGGATTTCCATGGATTGCCAAGTATAATCCTCGTATTGATTGGGCTAAAGGGGAAATACTGGAATGGGGTAAAGAATGTAGAGAGAAATGTATGTTACCTATTCCCATGAGAGCGGGTATCATTAATCTACCTATGCCTAAGTCTATCGAAATTCCTGAGCATTATAGTGAGGTTAAAGAAGTGTTTAATAAAAGTCACACTACCCCCTCACACTACCCCTATGATTGCTCCATAGATTTCTTACCCGGTACTATATCACCACAGGTTAGTATAATTAAGGAGGAATACATTAAAGAGTCTCTACAAAATGGCCACATACGTAAGTCTTCTTTACCTGCAGGTGTGGGGTTCTTTTTTGCGAAAGATGGAGAGTTACGACCATGTATTGATTATATCGCATTGAACAATGATGACATCAAAAATGCTTATCCCATTCCCCTTATCTCAGAATTGTTTGACAGACTCCAGGACACTAAGGTGTTTACCAAACTCGACCTTAGGAGTGCGTATAATTTGATAAGGATTAAGTAGGGACATGAATGGAGAACTGTATTTAACACAAGAAATGGTCACTATGAGTATCTTCTCATGCCCTTTAGCTGATGTAATGCTCCAGAAAGCATGTCAAGGAGACATAGAAGCAGGATAGTAAGGCAGAGAACGGTGTCATTGGCACTGGCCATGTTGGTGGAGTACTCAAAACAGAAACATAGAAAGTGACGGCAGATAAGAACCATTCGGCCCATCTAGTCTGCCAAATTTTCTAAATACTTTCATTAGTCCCTAGCCTTATCTTATAGTTAGGATAGCCTTATGCCTATCCCATGCATGCTTAAACTCCTTTACTGTGTTATCTTCTACCACTTCAACTGGAAGGCTATTCCATGCATCCACTACCCTCTCAGGTAACACTTCCTGATAATATTTTTAAACCTTTGTCCCTCTAATTTAAGACTATGTCCTCTTGTTGTGGTAGTTTGTCTTCATTTAAATATAGTCTCCTCCTTTACTGTGTTGATTCCCTTTATATATTTAAATGTTTCTATCATATCCCCCCTGTCTCGTCTTTCCTCCAAGCTATACATGTTAAGATCCTTTAACCTTTCCTGGTAAGTTTTATCCCGCAATCCATGAACCAGTTTAGTAGCCCTTCTCTGAACCCTCTCTAAGGTATCAATATCCTTCTGAAGATACGGTCTCCAGTACTGTGTACAATACTCCAAGTGAGGTCTCACCAGTGTTCTGTACAATGGCATGAGCACTTCCCTCTTTCTACTGCTAATACCTCTCCCTATACAACAAAGCATTCTGCTAGCATTTCCTGCTGCTCTATTACATTGTCTGCCTACCTTTAAGTCATCAGAAATAATCACCCCTAATTCCCTTTCCTCATATGTTGAGGTTAGGACTCTATCAAATATTCTGTACTCTGCCCTTGGGTTTTTACGTCCAAGATGCATTATCTTGCACTTATCCACATTAAATGTCAGTTGCCACAATTCTGACCATTTTTCTAGTTTACCTAAATCATTTGTCATTTGGCTTATCCCTCCTGGAACATCAACCCTGTTACATATCTTAGTATCATCAGCAAAAAGACATACCTTACCATCAAGACCTTCTGCAATATCACTAATAAAAATATTAAAGAGAATGGGTCCAAGTACAGATCCCTGAGGTACCCCACTGGTGACAAGTCCAAGCTTCGAATATATTCCATTGACTACAACTCTCTGTTGCCTGTCACTCAGCCACTGCCTTACCCATTCAACAATATTGGAATCCAAACTTAAAGATTGCAGTTTATTGATAAGCCTTCTATGTGCAACAGTGTCAAAAGCCTTACTGAAATCTAGGTAAGCAATGTCTACTGCACCACCCTGATCTATAATTTTAGTTACCCAATCAAAAAAATCAATAAGATTAGTTTGGCATGATCTCCCTGAAGTAAACCCATGTTGTCTCTGATCTTGAAATCCATGTGTTTTTAGATGTTCAGCAATCCTATCCTTTAACATGGTTTCCATCACTTTCCCCACTACTGAAGTAAGGCTTACTGGCCTATAGATGCCCGACTCCTCCCTATTACCTTTCTTGTAAATGGGCACAACATTCGCTAACTTCCAATCTTCTGGGACTATTCCTGTTAACAATGATTGGTTAAACAAATCTGTTAATGGTTTTGCTAGTACACCACTAACTCTTTTAATAGCTTTGGGTGTATTCCATCAGGTCCCATTGACTTATTTGTCTTTACTTTTGACAGTTGAAATAGAACCTCTTCCTCTGTAAACTCACGTGTAATAAATGACTCATTTATCCTTTTTCTTAACTGAGGTCCCTTTCCTTAATTTTCATCTGTAAATACAGAACAAAAATATTCATTGAGGCAGTCAGCTAGACCTTTATCCTCTTCTACATACCTTCCTTCTTTTGTTTTTAATCTAACTAATCCGTGTTTTACTTTACTTTTCTCATTTATGTATCTAAAAAATGTTTATCCCCCTTTTTTACTGACTGTGCTATTTTCCCTTCTGTGTGTGATTTGGAAGCTCTTATAACTTGCTTAGCCTCTTTCTGCCTAATCTTATAGATCATTTTGTCTTCCTCACTCTGGGTTTTTTTATAATTCCTAAATGCTAACTTTTTGTTTTTAACTATTTTGGCCACATCTGTGGAGTACCACAGTGGTTTCTTGAATTTTTTGCTTTTACTGACAAGCCTAATGCAATTTTCTGTTGCCTTCAATAGTGCAACTTTTAAATAATCCCATTTCTCTTGGACTCCATTTAAATTGCTCCAGTCTGATAATGACTCCTCTACCCATATTCTAATTTTAGAAAAGTCTGTTTTTCTAAAGTCTAAAACTTTTGTTTTTGTGTGGTGTGACTCAGTCACTGTTCTTATATTAAACCACACTGACTGATGATCACTGGATCCTAAACTTTCACCTACAGTAACATCTGATACCAAATCTCCATTTGTTAACACTAAATCTAGTATGGCCTCTTTACGAGTTGGCTCCTCAACAACTTGTTTTAGAGACAATCCCAGTAGGGAGTTTAGAATATGTGTGCTCCTGGCACAAGTAGCTAATTTTGTTTTCCAATTTACATCAGGAAGATTAAAGTCACCCATGATGATAACTTCCCCCTTCATTGTCATTTTAGCTATTTCCTCAACTAGTAGATTATCTAACTCTTCAATTTGTTCTAGGGGCCTATAAATCACACCTACACAAGTTACTGTGTGATTACCAAATTCTAACGTAACCCAAACGGACTCTATGTTTGCCTCATTAACTTTTATTAGGCTAGATTTTATGCTATCCTTCACATACAAGGCCACCCCTCCCCCTTTCTTGCCTTCCCTATCTCTCCTATATAAAACAGTGCAACATGGCACACAGGTCTCGCATGGAGGCCCATTCATTGGTGGTGCTGTAACGCAGAGCGACTGAACCGTGCGTGCTGCATCTGAAACTCCACTATCGCCTGCTGCTGCTCGCACAGTCTCTCCAGTATGTGCAAGGTGAAGTTCCACCTTGTGGGCACGTCGCATTTGAGGCGGTGAGCAGGAAAGCCGAAGTTATGCTGCAGCACAGACAGGTGATCAGCAGCAGGGTGAGAACGCCGAAAGCGCGCACAGACGGCCCGCACTTTCTGCAGCAGCTCTGATATATCTGGGTAGTTTTTCAGGAAATTCTGCACCACCAAATTCAGCACATGCGCCAGGCAAGGGATGTGCGGCAACCCGGCTAGGCCCAGAGCTGCTACGAGATTTCACCCATTATTGCACACCACCAGGCAATAATGAAGTGGCAGGTGCCTCTGTCACTCCACAGGTGGAGGAAGAGGCCGAGACAGCAGCAGAAGAGGAAGCAGGAGGAGCCTGAGACCTTTCTTGGTTTTTGATGTGCTTACTCCACTGCAGCTCGTGCTTTGCATGTAGATGCCTGGTCATGCAGGTTGTGCTCAGGTTTAGTACGTTTATGCCTCGCTTCACGTTCTGATTGCACAGCGTGCAAACCACTCGTGTCTTGTCATCAGCACATTGTCTGAAGAACTGCAACGCCAGGGAACTCCTTGAAGCTGGCTTTGGTGTGCTCGTTCCTTGGGTGCGGTGGGCAGTAACAGTCTAGGGGACAGCCGCTCTGCTTTTGCACCCTGCTCCCTCTTATGCTGTGCTGGTGCCTCTGTGTGACCACTGCCTCTTTCTCCAAACTGGACACATCACTCGCATGACCTTGATTCCATGTGGGGTCTAGGACCTCATCATCCTCCACATCATCTTCCACCCACTCCTCAACCCTGCCCTCCTTGCCGGTATGCACACTGCAGAAAGCCACAGCAGTTGGCACCTGTGTATTTCCAGCATGTAAAGTATGCATAGGACATATGGAAATTGTTTTAGAATTGTATCCCGGCAACAGTTTTCCCTATAAACTGACCTCTCAGTTTGACTTGTGAGGGTATTGCCCCAGAATTACAATATTGTTTAACTAACTCTTAGCTGTTGATAACTGGTTTAAATATAGCAGCTTGTTATCTGGTGTTTTTTTAGTGTAGAAAATATCAATCTGTTTTCTATCACTTAGATATGTTTAACAAGTGTTGTAGGTGTGAAACAATAATACAAGTGACCGATGTAGTAAATTCGAATCAAAGTTCCATTTGCAAAAAAAAATTCTCGCCCATCTTCTGTGGGTTATTGCATTTTTAAGATGTAGACTTATTGTATCACACTAGCCATGCACAGGTAGATTGTCTGGCACGTTGTTTTGGTGTTTGGTTTTTAACTTTGTAGTTGTGTCTTTACACAATATAGAAATGTATATTAATGCTTCTGTATATGAAGCGATCACAATAACACTTTGTAGCGGAGATGCAATA